TTTCAATCAAATGCTAGGGGAGCTTCACAGTTCTGGAAGGGGTTATACGAAATCAAAAAGTGGTTAAGTCTAGGCAGTGCCTACGAACTGGGTAATGGTAAGTCAGTGAGGTTTTGGGAAGATGTTTGGTTGGGAGATACACCTATAAAGACTCAGTACCCTAACTTATACAACATCTGTGGAGACAAGGATTGGACAGTAGGGCAATGTTGTTCAGATGGGGAGTGGGAGATTCAATTAAGAAGATCTTTGGGCCCTGATCTTTTAGGGGAGTGGAATGATCTCCAGGACAAGTTTTTGAGGAGTTCATTTAACAAACGAAAAGGATATTATGGTCTGGAATCTAACAAAATCTAGGAAGTTTACAACTAAATCTTTATACAGGGAAATTTTGTTTGGTGGGGTAAGAGATGTTTTGATGCAAGATCTCTGGAAAATCCCTGCGCCTCTTAAAGTCAGAATCTTCAGTTGGCTAGTGGTTAAAGGTAGAATCCAGGTGGCTGCGCAGTTGAAGAAAATGAATTGGAAAGGGGAGCATTTTTGCAAATTGTGCGGGTTGTTGAAGATGTAGATCATTTAATGTTTACTTGTGCCCCAGCTAAGTTCCTTTGGTGTTGTGTAAGGGATGCTTTACTGTGGAAGGAAATTCCAACTTCTAGAGTTGAACTATTGGATATTACTAAGAGTGTGAGCAACAGGAGGGCTATACTTTGCCTCTTTGCAGCTTGTTTTTGGGCTATTTGGCTTGTTCGTAATGATTGGGTTTTGAATGATAAATTGTTAAAAGACGTGACGCAATTACCTCATAAGGTGATGTCGTTCTTGATGCAGTGGAGAAGTTTGGCGCAACAGAAGCTGATGGGGAGTTGGATACGGTTCAGGTATTACTGCGTGCCAGCATTCACTCGTTGGGGGTCCAAGGGGATGCGGCAAGCTCCAGGACAGGGGTAGGCGTGGTCCAGGCTTAATCTAGTTTCTTTTTCTCTTAGTGTGATCAGATGTAATCTCTCTGGCTTCCCTCTCTCGAACTGGCTTCCCCAGTTTATTTTTTTTCTTTTCTTGTTGTATGAACCTCGTATGCTTTTTATGAAAAGCTGGGCTGAGCGCCTTCGTCTAAAAAGAAAAATATAAGCTAGGAAATCACATAAACAGCTAAGTCACAAACTATGGGCATGAGCAGTTTTCCCATCCTCCTTTTCATCTACATCATATCCAGGGAGTTTAAAAATATGTCCAAGCTTCAGGAAGTAGAGATGTGCTAGGTGCCATGGTTAAAAGCGCTATCGATTTACAACGTTCAAGTCAACTAAGTGGTTTGTTCGTATTAGCTACTCCCTTCGTCTCACTTACTAAGACACGATTAAACTTGGAACGGTCTTTAAAACTACATTTTAGCTTAAAATTATATTTATATATATATATATATAAACGATTGTACGATACGCCATCCACAATGTGATACAAAAGTACTCCATAGGTATTATAGGGTCTGCTCACTTTGATGTCATTTTCAACCATACCATTTTTTTTGGCAAAGTTACTAAAATTTTGGCTATGTTTAGTTTGTTGCCAAATTTTAGTAAGTACATATGAAATCTTGCCAAAATTTTGACAATCTTACTAAAATTTGGCAATGCCAAAACTTGGTAAGATTAAAAATGGTAGCAAAGTGAACAAGCCTATAATATTCTATTCAGCTACCTATTACCATTGTGCAACTAGTCCATATAGACAAAATAACCAAAAGTATCCATAAGCATATTGTTAATGACCAAATTTGGTAATATCAGCATCGGAGACGAAGGATAGATCGAAGCGGAATCGAAGATGAGGATTATCGCGGAAGCAGAGCAAGAATCAGTTGGAGTCCGGATCGGCTACGACTAGGATCGGCTAAGTTTGAGTCAGACTGGGTTAGGTAATACAGCCGATTCCGACAATATGACTCGTATCCAACATCGGGTTTGAGTTGGTGTGCTTCAAGATGATTGCCATATATGGATAGAGTCCTGAGAAGGCAATTGTATCTATTAATTAGGATATTTTATGTAAATTCCTTAGAGATAAATATGGGCAAAAGTCCGCCGCAAAGACTTATGGTATCTTAGAGTTTGTTAGAGATAATAGTCGTGTCCGGTATGGATATATCTTGTAATTCTCGGGTATAAATAGATCTCGAACCCTATGTAATTATTAACACACGTTCAATACAATCTCGGCGCATCGCCACCCTTTTACTTTCATTTTGTTTAGACGAGCTCTTGCTTTCGGGTTGAGCTGCATCGGTTTCGATCTTCAACAAGAGGTAAAACTTGTTATGACGACTTGTGTTCTCGAGATTAGTGCTTCCATCTTTATGATACTCTAATCTTGTTTATGTAATTCGTCGAGTTATCATATATTTCACATAATCCTTGATAATATCATCATCTAACCTATATTCGGCTAGCATCTGTCAATAGAAGGTAGCCGATTAGGTTAAATAACGATGTTGACTTGAATTATGTGATATATCTACCACTCCATGAAACATCCAACGGCTTGATTGTCTAGATATTGTTCTTCTTTTCATACTTAATGCTGCATCAGTTGAGTTTAACCTATTAAGTCGTGCTTAGAACCATAATATCTAGCATGCCTTCTGGTTGCCGATTAGAGTAGTATCGGAGTTTCAGCCGATCTTACCTGATTTAACTACTGTCATCCTATGTGCTTGATCGATATGTTAAATCTGCCATTTATGTTAAGATATTGTTGTATTTAAGTATATTAAGCTTCTGTTTGGTATATTCTGCTTATTTTAATATCTTAATATAGAGTGGTATCGGAGTACTAGCCGATACATGCTAGATCTATCTGATCGGCTATGCTATGAATATATATAATCTCACTATTAACATATATTTCGATCTAAGTGATTTATACTGTCTCGGCAAGATGACCGATCTATCCCAATCACTTGATTTAAGTATATATCGATATAAGGATTATATATCATTAATATCTACAGCTGATCGGGTAGATTTAGTTTTGATTTGCTTATTAACACTTGCCGATCAATGTACATATGACATCGGCCTATAGATAAATGATATGTCATCGGCACCTAGCCGATCGGCTATCATTTATGGATTTAATCACGGTTTCTTTGTCTTTATTTCTTGTTGATTGTAGGATCAAATCAACTGTCACGCTCATACATCCGAAGGCGAGTTTTGAACCTGCACTGGAGTTAAGCAGATCTCCCAAGCCTCGTGTTTTCTGTCAACACATATGTACTACCCATATGAAATAAATAATACTATTTATCGCTATTTCTCTCTCATCTCCAAATGCTACCTTGTATCTATATACATTGTGGAGATTGCTATAGTTAAAGTCTCTTTATATGGATTCCATTTATATAGATCACTTTAGCTATATACATTGGTGATGTTCTAACAAATTTTTTTCTTCCCTGGTATGGCATTGTTTCAGTTGATTTGATTTCCTGTGTCACCGGAGGGTACACGCCAAAATATCAAATCGTGTCCTATATAAGAGGGTAGAAATGTCAAGCCAATCAGAATGGGTACGTACCCTCATCGCTCGGTCTCCCATATAACCAAATGATGTACAATGCAACCACTGCTTCGTTGAAAACAATCACCAAAGTTGGTATAGGTGTCACCCAACTATCTAGGGTACATGTGTGCTCGCGTGCAGATTTTCCATCTCATATATATATATATATATATATATATATATATATATATATATATATATATATATATATATATACACACACACACACTATAACGTTTGTAGCAACATACCATAATCTTATATGAAAGTAAAATTAAATGATAATCAAATTACATTATTATCATCAAATAATATTTAATTTATAATAATATATTTATTGGTCAAATATTTAAACAGTTAAATCTTAAAATGTGTGTGCTCGTTAGTGAGTGGGACGGAGAGAGTATTCTTTAGGGGGTTTTGTGTTATCAGCTCATGTGGTTTCTTCATATATTTTACTAGGACAACCTACTAGTTGATAACTTGATATATAGAGTAAAACTTGGTTAAAATTGATCCTACAGATAAATTTTTAGAGAGTGGCAAATTGGGCACTATGTTAAGAATATTATTCTCGGCTTCTAGGAAATGATTCACAATACTGAAATAGTTTGGTGCTTTGAGTATTTAAATCCTTTAAGTTTGTCCCCGAAATCACCACCGCAAACCCAGAAGAAACACCATAGGAAATCCAAAACTGATGGCGACACCGAGATACGATATTTGGTAACAGAGTTCAACCGAATCCTACATCACCTGGCACTGATTATGGATGTTGTTAACGCTTTTTTAGGTCAACACAATATCACCTAACGATTTGCGATGCAATCAATAGAGTCGCCAAAATCGATAGATCAAAATCGGCTAGCAGAGCCGATTTCAAGGTTAATTCACTTTCGCGGAATCAAGCGACTAATTTACAAGCAAATTGGCAAAGAAGATAAATATCGTACTTACATGACGACGAACGACTAGTTTCCGAGCAAACTAACAAAGGATAACATTCTCGCTTTCGTGGAGAAGCACGACCGTTTTTCAGCGTAAAACGGTAAAGATTAACCAAATGACTTGGCCATGAAAACAAAATAGAAAAGAACAGAAAGTAAAGAATAGGAAACGTTAGATTGATAAATGGTAGATTGAAATTGTTCGGGCCTCTCGCCAACGTCGGAGCTGTAAATTTATACTGGCACCACACCCGGCACCATAGGTCTCCCTTCATGTTCGGTGGATCCATCCTTCCTTCCTATCCGAGTCGATACCGTAGGCATGTAATCAGGCTGATGATGATCTTCTATAATGTAACATCCTAAAAATCCCTAATAACAAAAATCACTAAAATTTCAAACTTTTTAAAACTTTTGCACCATGCTGGTGTTATTCGTTTCTCTGTTGCAAAACGGGTTGTTTTAATTGATGAATATGGAAAGACAAATGATAAAAACTAGAATATGGGAAAACTAAGGTTAGAATCTATAATGTTGGGAATAAAAGAAATCTAGGTTAGTTGTGATAATATTAATTCTTAATTTTTGGGATTCAATAAATCATGAAATTGGAAGTGTTAAAATATAGATAAATATCTGAAAGAAATAAGAAGATTAAACCATCTAAAAATTATTCACACAAAAAGTCTAGAAAAAGCCCTAATTGTGATTTTTCTCGGGTCGCTACTGTTCATTGCGCGCCAGTTGTTCGATCCGCGCCTAACCCGACCGAACACCCGACGCAGCCCTCTCCAATCACTGCCATGCCGCGCGTGTGCCTTCCGACCCGTGCGCCGCACTAGTCATGCCCGTGCGCCGCACCGCGTCGCGCCACGCCGCGTGGGCCCGCCGCCGACCGAGCCGCCAAAAACCCGCGCCAAAGCTGCGCTGCCACGAGTGCCCGCGTCATCCCGTCCCCTCGCACATCGCCTTCGGGATTGAGTGATAACGGCCGCCACAACGACCCCGCGTCACCCTAGGGCATAGCCCTGCGTCTTCCCTATCGAGGCCGATATCACTGTCCGTCGCCGTCGCTCTTGTCGCCGTCGCGTCGCCATCCTGTCGCCCACAACTGAGACCGCTGGATATTAGGGTGCTCCTTCCCTAGCTAATGATCCCTCTCCTGGAACCCTATCATCTAGGCAATCATGCCGGCACAGTGCATTGAACTAAACCTAGGAGAGATCGAAACGTGGCTGAGTCATCGATTGACCTTATCCAGTAGGAATCGCCCTCCCCTCGCTTGTATAAACTCGTCCCTAGCTCGTTCTTATCCTAACCCAACCTTCCATTAGCTCTTTCCCTTCCTAAAACTCTTGCTCCTCCGAAAAGGAGCAAAACCGCGCCGCCCGCCGGGTGTCGAACACCTGGTGAGCGGGGGTTGCGCCGCCGCCGCAGGGCCTCTCGGCCGATGTGGGTGGCGGGGTGTGGAGAGGAGGTGCTCGCACTGCTGTTACCGCCATTGGAGGGAGCCGGGAGCCGTTGGACGAAGAGGGCCGGGCGTCGAACACCTTCAAGCCTCGCCGACCGCCGTCTGCCCCTATTTCGGCCGCACCGCGCCGCACGCCGTCGAACTCCGCCGTTCCACCACTCCGTGGTAAGCCCTCGCGCCCGTAGTATTGCCTGGACACCTAGAAGCTATCGGCCCCCTCGATTTGGGGTGTGAGCCGCCGTAGCCGTGCCGCCTCCGACCGCCACCGCGCCATGGCCGAGCTCACCGTGGAGGGACCTCGTTCCAATGCAACCTAGGCTAGGTTTTTGCTTCTATATGCTCCATGTGGACCCGAGATGGTTAAATCGTCGTCGGTTGCGCTCGTATTGGTCCCCATTGTGCCGCCGCCGATTTTGAGATCTCGGCGCCGCCACACGCCGTCGCGTCGCGCCGAGCATTCGCCGCGTTTCGCCGTCGCCGCCGGCGAGCATTCGGTGGTGCCCCGCCGCTCGCCCCACCATGCGCCGAGCCGTCCCGGCTCGGGCCGTCGCACCGCCGCGCGCCACTCCTCTGTCCAGCCGCGTGCGCGAGGAAGAAGACGACGGGAGAGAGAAAGAACGAGAGAGGGAGAGATTATGACATGTGGACCCCACTTCATTAGTGCACAGTAATCCCCAAACTAATGGTATTATTATGAGTCTATGACATGTGGGCCCGGATGCTTAGAAATTTAATTAAATGAGGTTTTAAGTAAATGTATCAATGACATGTGGGTCCCACCGGTGATTAAAGGGCTGGCTTGACCTCAGTCAACAAAGGGTTCGGCCCCACCTGTCAGTGACACATCGCATTTCCTTTAGGAAAATAAAACCGAGAAATGGAAATAGGAGAACGGCCCACATGTCAGCCTCTGTGGTTTATGGATTTGTGTTAGGAATAAAAATAAATGAATTAGGAACAGTAACTTTTCACAATTTCTCGAATTAATTCAAATTTGAATCTTTAAACCCTCATAACTCACTCATTTTAACTCGGATTTGAATGAAACTTGAACCTAAATTCATCTAAAATCAAGATCTATCTAATGGTACCATTTTCTCAATTTAATTTGTACTGTTTGAATTTTTGGTGATTTAATTTGAATTCTAATTGAATTCAAATCAAATCCTTCGCACGTAAATATAGATTCCGAGGGAGTAGCTGAGTTGACTGAGGAGCAGGGACAGCAAGACTGTGATCCAGGTAAGTCATCACTAATCTTTGAGCATGTTGAACCCATTGTGAACTTATTTTGGATTTAAAATAAAGTTGCATGTTATATGGATATATGTGAATGCCCTACTTTGTTATATGCCATGCCTTTGATATTGATGATCCATGCAATCCTTGTAATCCATGATATCGTATGTCTTTACTCAATATTTGGTAAATGCTTAGCCATGCTACTTTATGCATATTCATATTTATCAAAATGCTTTATGCTTGGGCAACTACCTTTGGGAAGGTGGTTGAGATGCGGCATGTGGAGACATGAGCGCCATATTGCCATGACATTTGTGACAGGATTTGTGAAAGGAAAAATAAAACTAAACAACTGTTTTCGACTGGGGCGGCTGGGTGACTTGGGTGGAGTCCGATAAAGGCTAGTGCCGTCCCTAGTCAATTAAGGACCGAGCCATGAAGTTAAGCATGAAACGACCCCAATAGAACCGTACTTCTCGTATGGGTATAGACCTAGCGGAGTAAATAGCCGAGCGGAGGCAGTATCCCTGCATAGTGGTTTTCTTGATGTGTGTGAGGCAGGGCCTACGGTGGGGCAGCCATTGGTAGGACCGCGAGGGACGGGTGCCTACAGTGGTGTCGCCATCGGTAGGACTGCCATGTGTAAACCTAAACTTAACTATAACTTAATGCATGTGTGAGTCTTTCCTTCCCGGGAGCGCCAGAACTCCTCTCACTGCTAGAAACCGTGTACGCCTAGAGTGCATGAGGACTCAAGTTCATGGAGCGGGTACTGCCAAAGTGAGGTGGTTGAAAGGCTTTGCCGTGGCAATTCTCATTCGTTGGGACGTAGGGTCATGTGTTGGGCAAGTCACGGAGTACGGGTAAAGTGTACATCCACTGCAGTGTGAGTAAATCAATCTATTCGAATAGCCGTGCTCGCGGTTATTGAGCACCGGGACATGTATTACACTTGGCTAGACTCAAATTTCCTAAATATGAAAGGGATGGGATCTGCATGATGATTTTGAGCTGGTGGATCAACTTCTCGAGAGGCGAGAAGGGGTAAACCCCAGAAAACAATGACGACCAGTAACGGGAAGCCATCTTTGGGAAGACAATGGATGGTGAACAGAACCGTTGCTGTGTAATAACCACTGGAATTAAAACTTGACTAGTTTATGCTAAATCTTAGGCTTGTGAAAAAAATTGTGAAACTAGCTTTACGCAAATAAACCAAAGGCCACACCTTGAATACCTCTATCATACGCATTGTTGTTGTGGTAGCTTGCTGAGTACGGTTGGTACTCACTCTTGCTATTACAAATTTAATCAGTGGATGGCAATGAAGTCGAGGAGGATCCCTATGCTTATCTTCAGGAGGATGCGGAGGATGACGGCGCCCCGTAGATGTTAGTTACGGTCGTTGCCTGTGGCAATGGCAAGGCCGCTGCTTAAATTCCGCTGCCTTATCTATTTCTGCTTTTGCATGTATTCCAGACCGTTCGGGCCTATGTTCTGGTCTATGCATGCGGGCCTATGATGTAATAATTCGCGCTAGACAATCTTTGTATGTGCACTTGATATTTCAGCAATGTAATCGTGAGTACCAGACTATTTGATCCAGGGAAATGGTACTATTAACACGAGTGATTCCTGTTATAAAAACGGGGGTTTACATATAATCTTCACCACGTACCAGTCCACCTGATTCACCGTTGTGGCTATCCAAAACTCCTAATCATCCGGCTGCACCTGCATGATCTGTATACATATATGCATATCTCCAAAATAGGTAAAATTCTACAGCCACCCAACAAACTGCACACACATTTGACCAACTCTCAAGCAAGCCATTCAATGAATCGTGAAGCTAAACTAAACAATCTGGCATGCCTAAATGAATTAACTACTAGCCAAATTATGGCATAAACACATGCCCCCTGTTTTCGGTATAACTAATGCGTATAACTTTTATTTTACCGAAAACACTATAAAATTAACCAACCCAAACCACAATTATTCTCTCAGAACGATACACCACACACGGTATCGGTTCTGAGCCCATCCACATCCACAGTTGTCCTCTCAAAACGATACTCAGATAAGTAATCGTTTTAAGACCACCCACAGTCGTCCTCTCAAAACGATACTCAAATAAATAATCGTCCTGAGATAATCAAGCTCCCCTTCCTAACTTGGCGACCAACAACTAAACTTGTTACCCCAAGCATCAATGGACAAAATCATTTGCCATACTAAATTATCTATTTGAAACGATTTTTCCCTTATTATCTTCATATAAGCCTCAACCCAATCATGACCTACACACTTTGAAAGCAACACATCTATAGTTCGGTGATATAACTGATTATCTACACACTTTAAAATCCATCGCTGAACTTCCTATCTCACCAGTCTTTCAAATAATCAACCAAAGAATTTTTCAGATCATTTGGTATAAATTTAACTGGTAATTCGGTTGTCCCTAATGTCCACCTAACCGAATTAGCTCATCTCTGGGCAGTTCTTCGACATAAAACATTTTAAAACAAACCCATCTTAACTTTGATATATTTTAAAAACAACTCATCCTATAGCTCGGCAATATAATTCATCATCCAACAAAATATATCTCAAAACCTATCGCCGAACTTTTCTATATATGATTTAACCTAGGCTTTTCAAATAATTAACCAAATATTCACTCCAATCACCTAGTCACTACTGATTCGTGTAACGACCCGCCTCTCCCAGGCCGGGCCCGCTTACATCTGGCAGCTTTCATAGGTCATAGAGTGCCCTCACAGACCAACACAAGTCTTTTCTGCACACTTTGTCCTCACTCGTGTGCACCGGGAAGAATTTTCCGGTCGGTCACCCATTCCAAATTGCTCCAGGCCAAGCACGCTTAACCCTGGAGTTCTTTGGAGATCGGCTTCCGGAAAAGAAGCTACAACTTGTTAATATGAGTATTCTATTAATCCTATTAAGCCCTAGGCCGGGATGTCACATCCTCACCCCCTCAAGAGAGATCGACGTCCCCGTCGATCAACCCCAGGCCAGGAACGTCCCCTCTTGGGCACGTTTGTGTGCCCAGTGCCAGCACATGTGCCATGCTGTGTGACCACTCCGGATCCACACCAGCCATGCGCACCATGCTTGCTCAACTGCGACACACGCGCCCGTGAAACCGCGAGAGTCGGCTCTGATACCATTTTGTAACGACCCGCCTCTCCCAGGCCGGGCCTAATTACATCTGGCAGCTTTCATAGGTCATAGACTGCCCTCACATACCAACACAAGTCTTTTCTATACATTTTATCCTCACTCGTGCGCACCCGGGAAGAATTGCACACTTTGTCCTCACTCGTGCGCGCACCCGGGAAGAATTTCCCGGTCGGTCACCAATCCCAAATTGCTCCAGGGTTAAGTGCTCCAGGCTAAGCACGCTTAACCCTGGAGTTCTTTGGAGATCGGCTTCCGGAAAAGAAACTGTAACTTGTTGATATGAGTATTCTATTAATCCTATTAAGCCCTAGGCCGAGATGTCATAATTCGGCAGTCCCTGATGATCCCCATGCCAAATCTCCTATATGTGTTGGCATTCGCTAGACCGAACTACTAGTTCTCTGCTCGGTCCTTTCTCAACTTGACTCACCTGCCAACAGTGCAAGTACAGGAACTCTACTACCATCCAATTAACACCATGGCTATAGCCACACACATTATGCACCACAATACCCCCACCATTAGACAAACCGGCTTGCATAGATTTACTAGCCGAAACAATGCTGCCAATTATAGCAGGTTTATCCATTATCAAAAACATACCTCTACTCTGATATATTATGAATAATTAAGGCATCTAGCAATTTAATTAAATCTAAACATCGGTCCAAATAAGTATTTAACAGTCTATCAAAATACTGAAATAGATCAATTAATCCACTAAACTATTAGAATACCGAAAGCATGTACATCCCTCACACAACATCGACTAGACTTTCCAAACCGAATAATACAGCATCTACTCGGTCTAAAGTGTAAGGATACTCTAAACGGACTAATAGGGATCGATATGTCATAAGCAATATTATTTGGTGAAATGAAAACAGTATCAACACCTTCCCCACTTGCACAAAATATGACCGAAATAAATTCTAAAGAATAATATATAGGTACAAAAATCACAAATATCTCTAGCACCTAATTATTTCGGTCGTAGAAAAAATAACAACACCTACAACTAATAATGGTCAATATGCAAAACTATATGGTAACAGCCCTCCATAATATAAAGACTCATATGGTATCCAAGAATTATAATAAGAATATGAGGGATAACTAGACATACCTGAGAATGGATTCCATAACATAGGCATTGGTAATATAGGTGAAGAATATAAATAATGTGGTTGCGAAAGAACCTGATGATTGGATGCAAACCACTGACTTGGTGCATGCCTCCTAACTCCCTTCTTATTATTTGCCTCCACTTCAACTTTAACATATGTTTCATTCTGCACCTGAAAACTTCCTTTAGAAACCCATGCCATACCTCTCTCCCTTAGCTTTTCTGCACTTAGCTTGTGGAGCTGCTTCTTCTGCCAATTTGATAAGCTGTGTGAGTGTCTTAGCTGTCTGCCATTGCCCCCCGAGCTCTTCGGCGGATTCTGACTTGTTACTAACTCTGCCGAAGATGCCTCTCGCTTCATACTCACATGGTGTAAATTTTTTAGTTGTCGTACACGCGCGTGCCCCCTAGCGTCCACAACATCTCCATGAACTTAAGCCATTTGCACACCCACAAGCGCGTCAGCTTGTAAATCATGTGCAGCTAAACCCATGTCTTGACCTCTAGACTTCAGCACCCAGATTTGCTTCCTTATTGAACTACCTCCTACCCATGCTGAAGACTTCTGTCTGCTAGACCACCTAGACCGATTTCTTTTATCAAAACGGTTATCCTTGGCATATGACTTTCTTGGAGTTGCAAAATGTAATCGGCCTTCATTATTAGCCGATTGTATTTTCTGACGAAATATATTATAATCGCTAGTACAATGATCGAATGAATTGTGCCACTTACAATAAATTTGTTCTTTTAAATCTGGAAGTGATGGCATGACATAATGATCATGTAATTTAATATAATCATTTTTTAGCAAATCATCGAAAATATGATCTCACATGGTCCAATCAAAAGTATACTTCTTTTTGCTTAACCGACACTTTTGTGGAGACGGTTTTAAAGCTAAGCAAACGAATGGTTCAGATTTGCTATCTACCCATTCGGCTACACAATTGCTTTTATTTCCCCTGTTCAATGATTTAGAGTTATCCACTATAGAAGCATCAACCTTATTAATATTTTCCAATTTTAGTTTTGTGCCTCTAGCTCTAGATTGATCACAAGCAAACCATGTAGACATAAACTTTGGCAATGATGATATAGAAAATTTAAATACTTTATTATTGTCAACAAGAACATTAATCTCCCCAATCGATCCTTTAGAATTATTCATGATGACCGTACTGATGTATAAATTATTTTTAGATGAATGATCAAACTGGGAAATAAGTACATTACCTGTGAATGCTACCTTATCTGACGTGTTGGAGAAGCATGGAGATTTATTTACTTGAATGATATCTTGGTTCGTCCCCTTATGACCCTCCAACATCTCCTCCGTGTTCTCAAGGTTTCGTGCCCTATCGTCTTGCTGCTCATCAACTTCCTTGGCACAAAATTCATCTGGCAAAATAAAAACTCCTATGTCTCCAGAGAAATCAAGCATAGCTACCTCGTCTTCATTAGCCGATAATTCTGGATTTATCGGCTTTTGTTCTTGTGAAAAAATTGGTTTTGACCCTTTACTTAAAATATAAGAATTGATTTTTTCCTCCACATCTGTCACAGCTTGATTTTTCGTTTCAGGATTTATAAATTATTTAATAAATTATATTAAATGTTCATTAATTTACAAGTGAAGTTAAATGTGGGAAATAAAATATCCTAAATATAAAGCATGGTTGGATTTAATTTTTATTAAATTCTCCATGATTAATTATACTCTCTGAAATTTTCTCGGATTTTTCAGAGCTCAATTCTTAATTTTAATAATACAAAGAATATTTCAGTAATTATTCACATATTAAATTAATCATTAAATGAGCTGGTTTCAATTTTGTTAAATACTTAGAGTGTCCAAGTATGTTAAATATTTTTCTTGGAATTATTTGAGCATTAGAAGTATTTTTAACAATTGAAAGATCATTTTGGTGATTAATTTAATTAGAAAGTAATTAAAATCAACTTTTCCTTTTCGGGCCGAATTAGGAAAAGTCCTCACTCTCGGCCCAATCTCCTCTCGGCCTGCAGCCCTCTCCCTCTCTTTCCCGAAGTCCAGTTTCTATCCCTCCTTCAATCGGGCTGTGTAATAGAAGCCCAGCCAAAAGTCTGTTTTGCCTCCCTATCGCTACAGTACCTTCTTCTACTCCTGGACAGAGCCGAGCCAGCCGTGCCATGTCCTACTGCCGCCGATCCCCTTCCAAAATCCGGCCTCCTCGTTGCTCCTTTTTCCAAATTAGTTACGGGAATAGAATCATCTCAATCTCCTCTACAATTTCCCTAGGAAATCCCCAAAAGTTTCTATGGAAATCTT